CCCGCGCGCCCGGCCCCGGCTCCTCACCCGAAACGCGGCTCCTTCACCGTGGCCAGCACCGCCGTCACCGCGCCGAATGAGTGTCCCATGACAGCCGCTTTGCTCACGTCGACGCTGTCCTGCGCAACGGAGAAGGCGAGAGGAGCTCCCGCTTGCTGCAGAGGGGCCCCAAGCGGGAAAGGAAAAGCTGGGGCTTCTCCGGCGGGGGAGAAAAAGGCAAGGGCTGATCCTGCCCCCAAAACACCCCCCTCGCTGGCACCCTGAGCCGCCGGGGACACCCGCAGCGCGGAGGGACCCGCACCTGCAGCACGGACAGGTCGAAGCCGCCGGGCAGGACGTTCGGGGCCGCCCGCCCGCGGCTGACGTCCTCGAAGAGCCGCAGCGCCCGCACGCATTCGTCCGCTCGCTGGTGAAGCTGGAGCGAGAGGGGCCCCCTCCCCGGTTAACCCGGGGCCTCCATCCGGAGCCTCCGCGGAGGCTGCTGGCCCCGGTGTCCCCAAGCTGCCACCAGCAGAGGACCTGGCAGGTCAGGGGACAACTCTGGGCCTCGCTGCCGCCGGGGGAAAGTCCGTTTCTTGCCAAGCGGTGGATAAAGTCCAGCATCCAGCAGGGCCAGAACCAGAGCGAGCCCCAGCCCGGCTCCTGGGGGAGCTGCCTCAGGCTGGGATTGTTCCTGAACCCGGTACCTGCTTATTCCGGAAATAAAATTCCTTCTGTCCAGGGGGCACTGGTTCGTAGGGGATCCACTCCTCCCGCAGCTCCTCGCCGGCCTCCCCAGCGCAGAAATAGGTGGCGGAGGCGGAATGATCCCTGCGACGGCGAGAGGATGGCGGCTGCGGCGGGCGCTCCGGAGGGCGGGAGCGGGCGCCGGGGCGCGCGGTGCCAACCTGTGCTCCAGCGCCGCCACCACGAAGCCGCGGGACGCCAGCTCCGCGCACACGGCCGAGTACACGGTGCTGCGGGGGCAGGAGGCGGCGATGCCGGCAGCATTCCTGGCATCGTCCCGACCGGAGCGGGGCCGTGCCCGGGAGCGGGGCGTGCGGCGCGGCCCCCTCACCGGAACGTGCCCAGGCTGTGGGAGAAGATGATCAGGGGGTACTTGGCGCTGCTGGGCTTGAAGGGGCCGTTCCAGCTGAGCGGCACGCGGAAGCTGCCTGCGGAAGACACGCGGATTGGGCAGGGATGCTCCGAGAAAGGGGAAGAAAAAGCCCCAAACTACCTGGAGCTCCTG